CATCTCTGGATTTGTTCTGTAATTTAACTACCATCTCTGGATTTGTTTTGTAATTTAACTACCATCTTTAGAACACTTGCAACACTTCACATGTTTTATGACTAAAAGTTTGTGTTTACATGTTCTCCAGAGCGCCCAACAAACGACACCAAACTAAAATCCACAATCTTTAACAGACCTGATTCCAAAAACATGTATAAGGACACATTTATGTAATATAAAGAACATGTTTCATCTTTGCTGTTTCAACATAAGAGGAAATGTGTGGGCATCACTTCTGAGCGCCGAGGATGATCTTTTGTTACAAAAGCATAAAATCATCATGAGAGTGGTGGCGCCTGCAGCAGGTAACATACTGACCTTCATATGTGCAGCAGAGCACAGACGCAGCTTTATAAACCAGTAGAGTGCCAGAATTGCAAACTTTTATCTTACTTCGATTGATTAAATAAAAGTTAGCTACAACAAATACTGCTCACGCTTCATCACTTGGCACCATACGGACTTTTGTCATCTGAAGCAGTTTTGTTTGTTTCACATCGTAAAACATTACAGCTGTTAAAACTACAAGCCCCCTGCAGATGCTGAGGTGTTCCAGGGTTTCAGGACTTGTTTCATCTGAGAAGGAGTGGGGCTCTGGTTACTGGGTTTGATGTCCAGTCTTTTCACTCCGGGCACTTCCTTTCCTTCCTGAACCAGCTGCATCACCTCTGCAAAGGAAAGCTGCTGCGCCTCTGGACCTGCAGATGTTGGTGGTGGTGGGTTTTGTAAAGGGGTCCTCTGGTCCAGCTGTTCACCCCCTCCATGGGAAGAAGAGGAGCTCCACGTCTTGTAGTCGTGCTGGTCTATTGGCTCAACAAACCTGAATGCAGACGAGGTGATCAAAGGTCATTTAACACAAATAAATAAATACTGTTGACAAACAACAGTCAAGAGCGGAGAAACACAAGAAATGTTTAAACATCTAAACAGAAGTTCCACTTCATTAGTCATCGTTTCTACCATTCAACATTTTCTTTATTAAATAAAAACGTCTCAGATATAAATGAAACTGCCTGACTAACAAAGTGACGCATTTCCTTTACACTGAATTGTTTATTGCTGAAACGCCAATCAAATGAGCTCTGTAAGCACTTTAATTTCACAGACATTTTAAATGAGCTCATTTTAAATACTTGTGCCTAATTTGAAGAAGCATTTCTAGCTGTAAAACTTCCCTACACTTTGATAAGGTAATGCACAAGATAACAAAAGTGTTTACTTGTTGTAAAAGAAGAGTTTGAGCTTCAGCAGCTCCGTTACTTCTCTGCTTTTCTCCGACTTGCTGAAAGTTTTAAGTCCGTCCACAAACCGCTGATCAGCCTCAAAGTTATACGAGTTAAACCGGAGGAAGACTGGCTCCATATCGCTCGAATTTAGCAAATATTCATACTAATTTTATTCAAACGCTCCATTAGTTGGACTACCGGAAGAATGGTCGTGTTTGTCATCAACAAGTTTGAACAAAGAAGGTAAAGAAACTGAACCAGCAGCACTGCACCGCCCCTATAGGCTAGAGTCGGTACTACAAATATAAACCGCAGCGTCCCTACAGGCAGCAGTCGGTACTGCAAAATGGACCATTAAAATTACACGTGCTGTACTGTATGTATATATATTTATATATATATATACATATATTTATATATATATATATATATAATTTTTTTATCTCCATTTATTCAACCTTTATTTATACAGGTTAGTCTCATTGAGTCACAAGAACTCATTTACAAGAAAGACCTGTTGTAAACAAAGACCACAGATGAGGTACACACAAAATAAACATTCACATAAAAGCATGTAAAATGAAAGGTAAATTAAAGTGATTTTTTTAAACGTGCTACATTATAAAACAGTGTAAAATACTAAAAACAGGAACTGCATTGATTTTTGCATTGAATTTAACAGTTTGAAATCCCTTAGGGAGGTCAGCCGAGAGCTTCAGATCTTTTTGCAAGGTGTTTCAGGAAACGAGAGCGGAGTAGGAGATGGTCCTTTTGCCAAATACAGTCTGCACTGAGGGAACGCTGCAAATAATGACGTCTTGGGAGAGCACACTGTAGCTGCAGACAATGTGACATGTAGGAGGAGATGCATGAAGGCATCAAACCAAGGAATGATTTAAAGATGAAAATGTACCAGTGTGAGAGTCTGTGTGAAGTTAATGATTTAATTCCATTATTACCATAAGATTCACCAGGTAAGACACATAAGTGTCACCAAGTATGATGCAGGTAAGTCACCAGGTAAGACACAGGTAATATTTTTACACACACATACATACATATATATATATATATATATATATATATACATATATACATTCCAAAACAGTTGGGACACTAAACAAATTGTAAATAAAAACTGAATGCAATGATGTGGAGATGGCAAATGTCAATATTTTAATCGTAATATAACATAGATGACAGATCAAATGTTTAATCTGAGTAAATGTAACATTTTAAAGGAAAAATATGTTGATTCAAAATTTCACAGTGTCAACAAATCCCTAAAAAGTTTGGACAAGTAGCGATAAGTGGCTGGAAAAAGGAATATGAGCATATAATGAACAGCTGGAAGACCAATTAACACTAATTAGGTCAATTGACAACATGATTGGGTATAAAAAGAGCTTCTCAGAGTGTCAGTGTCTCTCAGAAGCCAAGATGGTAAGAGGATCACCAATTCCACCATTGTTGCACAGAAAGATAGTGCAGCAGTACCAGAATGGTGTTACCCAGTGTAAAATAGCAAAGACTTTTAAGTTATCATCATCAACCGTGCATAACATCATCAAAAGATTCAGAGAATCTGGAACAATCGCTGTGCGTAAGGGTCAAGGCCGTAAAACTCTACTGGATGCTCGTGATCTCCGGGCCCTTAAACGTCACTGCATCTCAAACAGGAATGCAACTGTCAGGGAAATAACAGAATGGGCTCAGGAATACTTCCAGAAAGCATTGTCAGTGAACACAATCCACCGTACCATCCGCCGTTGCCAGCTGAAACTCTACAGTGCAAAGAGGAAACCATTTCTAAGTAAGCTCCACAAGCTCAGATGTTTGCACTGGGCCAGGGGTCATTTAAAATGGAGTGTGGCAAAATGGAAGACTGTTCTGTGGTCAGATGAGTCACGATTTGAAGTTCTTTATGGAACACTGGGACACCATGTCATCCGGACCAGAGAGGACAAGGATAGCCCAAGTTGTTATCAACGCTCCGTTCAGAAGCCTGCATCACTGATGGTATGGAGTTGCATGAGCGCTTGTGGCATGGGCAGCTTGCATGTCTGGAAAGGCACCATTAATGCAGAGAACTATGTTCAGGTTCTAGAACAACATATGCTCCCATCTAGACGTCATCTCTTTCAGGGAGGACCCTGCATTTTTCAACACGATAATGCCAGACCACATTCTGCAGCAATCACAACATCATGGCTACGTAGGAGAAGGATCCGGGTACTGAAATGACCAGCCTGCAGTCCAGATCTTTCACCTATAGAGAACATTTGGCGCATCATAAAGAGGAAGGTGTGACAAAGAAGGCCCAAGACGATTGAACAGTTAGAGGCCTGTATTAGACATGAATGGGAGAGCATTCCTATTTCTAAACTTGAGAAACTGGTCTCCTCTGTCCCCAGACGTCTGTTGAGTGTTGTAAGAAGAAGGGGGGATGCCACACAGTGGTAAAAATGGACTTGTCCCAACTTTTTTGGGATTTGTTGATGCCATGAAATTTGGAAACAACAGATTTTTCCCTTAAAATGATACATTCTCTCAGTTTCAACGTTTGATCTGTGATTTGTGTTCTATTCTGAATAAAATATTAGAAGTTGGCACCTCCACATCATTACATTCAGTTTTTATTCACAATTTGTTTAGTGTCCCAACTTTTTTGTGTCAGGGTTTTCAAGGCAGATCAGGACAGAAGAACCCAGTTGCGCAGGCAGGACTCAAGAGGCAGAGGTATAAAATAAAAATACTTTTAATAATAATAATAATAATAAATCAAAAGGCTGACATGGCAGCAAAACTTACATGGACTCAAGAACAAGATCACACAGGCAGGACAGGACAGGCAATACCCAACGACGAACCGACAAAGGAACAACACAGGACAGGAGGCTTATATACAAGGACAAGACAAGACGTGATTACAACAGCTGTGACGAGACAAAGGTGACACCAATTAAACTGACGAGAAAACGGACACAAACAGAAACAGCAAATAGTACCATCCTTACATTTTGGAATCCGGTTTGTAGATGATAGATTCAGGGCCCACAATTATTTAATCAATTTCAAGTATTTATTTGTTTATTTTTACATAATTTGAGCTTCCAGCTCATGAAACCCACGAAAACAGGATTTCAAAAAAATTTGAATACTGTGGAGAAATCAGCCCACACTACTTACTCAGGTTTTGCTGGAAAAAAAGAAAGAAATGAGGATCACAACAAATCAATCATAATATAGTACTTTCAAAACGATATGTCAATCTTACATACTTGGTTGTGAATCCCTTTGCCTTAATTACTGCCTCGATGCGACGTGGCATTGACTGGGAGTTATGGAAGCAAAGATTTCCTTGATGCTTGCTGTCAGCTCTTCTTTGTTGTTGGGTCTGGTGCCCTTTATTTTCCTCTTGACAATACCCTATAGATTCTCAGGGTTTAGGTCCAGCGAGTTGGCTGGCCAGGCAAGCACTGTGGCATGGGCATCAAACAAGGTTTTGGTGCTTCTGGTGCCATGGGCAGGGGCCAGGTCCTGCTGGAAGATAAAATCTGCATCTCCATACAAAGCCTCAGCAGAAGGAACCATGAAGTCCTCTAAAACATTCTACTAGACTCTAAAAAAGTTAAATCTGGTCCTCTGGACATTCAAAAAACAAAACAACAAAAACTGTAGAAAAGTTTGGTCTTTCATCCGAAAGTGCATTACGTGCATTCCTGTTGATGATGCAGTAGAGGTGGTCAGTTTAAAATTAAAATCAGACACCACTCTGAGCAGCAGGACCACGCTTTCCACAGAACAACTGGGTCAACTCTTGAAACTGTGCCTGCAGTCAACCTACTTCACATATGGGGATCAATATTATAGGCAGAAACATGGGTGTGCTATGGGGTCTCCATTTTCTCCTATTGTTGCCAACCTGTACATGGAGGAGGTAGAAAAGAGAGCCTTGACGTCCTTTTCAGGGACACCACCAAGTCATTGGTTCAGGTATGTTGACGACACCTGGGTTAAAATTAAATCTCAGGAAGTCCAACATTTTACTGACCACATCAACTCTGTGGATAAATACATCAAGTTCACACGAGAAGATGTAAAAAATGGAAGGTTGGCTTTCTTGGACTGTGAGGTCTCAGTCTCTGATAGAGGACATTTGCAAACTGAGGTGTACCGCAAACCCACACACACAGACCAGTATTTGCAGTTTGACTCCCATCACCCTTTGGAGCACAAGTTAGGAGTCATCAGGACTCTGTATCACAGAGCAGACAGCGTCCCCACTAGCTCAGGAGCCAGGCAGAAGGAGAAATCCTACACAAAACAGGCTCTAGAGCAATGTGGATATCCTAACTGGGCCTTCCTGAAAGCAGAGAAGAAACCCAAACAGGACTCCAGTCAGCCAACAGGTGAAAAGGAGGAACCCAGACCAGTGGTCATTCCATATGTTGAGGGAGTGATGGGTTTTTCTTTACCATCACCTTAAAGAAACCACACAAGAGACAAGAGTGATTATTCAAAACGAATCCTTGCAAGGAGGAACGAAATTCCAACAGAATCAAAATTTAAGTTCAACTTGCTTAAAGCGTAGGTTCGTATTTATTGGTGACAGTTTGCTGATAACAAGGTTCTTTACACAGACGTGGCAGACAAGAAAAATAAGGACAGTAAGTATTTTGATAATGATAAATAAACAAGGTCTGTGATTTAGAAACATCTTCTGGAACATTTTAACAGTTTACAAGTCTTGTGTCACAGATAACTGGGTATTGACGCACACACAGAAACTGGTCAAAGCAAGTTGGCTGATTACAATGAAAAGAAATAGCAGAAAAATAAGTTTTAAACGATTACTCTTAAAAATTCCCTATCAGGGAGTATCAGAGAAACTGAGACGTTTATTTTCTAAACACAACGCCCCAGTGGCTTTTAAACCCCAAAATACATTACGGCAAAGACTGGTTCATCCCAAAGATCCAGTCCCCCGGCACAAACAGAGTAATGTTGTGTTTGCTGTTCAGTGTCATGAGGGCTGTGATCAGTCTTACATCGGGGAAACTAAACAGCCACTGGCCAAAAGGATGGCCCAGCACAGAAGATCAACATCATCAGGCCAGGATTCTGCGGTCTACACTCATCTCCAGGCCAGCGGTCACTCTTTCAGGGATGAAGATGTTCACATCCTGGACAGAGAGGAACGATGGTTTGAGAGAGGAGTAAAGGAGGCCATCTTTGTGAAAAGAAACCGTCCATCATTAAACAGGGGTGGAGGCCTCCGGGTTCAACTGTCCCCCTCTTACAATGATGTTATTGCTAGTATCACTCAGCCCTCTGTGAATAGTAAACAGCCATCAATATATAGATATTAAGAAAAAAAAGTATCAGTGAGTTTTGCAAAACTTGTCATAAGAATATTTTATTAGTGTTAATGTTAACCTCACCAAGAATATTTAAATACACTGAACCATGTGTTCAGCTTTAATGGCTGTACGCCAAAGATTTACAGAGGAAAAAAAATCATGAGAATGAGTTTAGTTTTCAGTTATGACTGATTAAATGCACAGATACTTCATTGCTCCTGACGAACAGGTTACAGAGTGGAGCGGTCGACCGTTCCAAGATGGCGGCCCTACGGCTCGTCAGCGTGGTCAATGCTGTATCTAGCTTTTATATGATATCTATGATGTCTACGCTCTCATGATGGTACTCTGTCTTTGCTGTTTAAATTAGAAGGATTGTGAGATTTATGTAACCCCCCCTTCTTATTTCTTTCTGTGTGTATTTTTTTTAGGCAATTTCATTTTTCCCCCTTCTTTCTAGTTGTTGATATTTTATCCTCTACGAGAGTTTTGTATTATGCAATTTGTTAATAAAAAATAAAATAAATAAAATTATAGAGTCGTAGACTCCTCCTTCGCAGAAGGGGAGCTCAACCTGTCAGTGTATGAGAGGGCGTGACTAAATGTGATCTCAATGGATCTTATGTGGTTCTGATGTGTTAGGAAATATGAGACGGTGCTTCAAAAGGCCTTTCTACGTGATGTGGCAAGCAGATTAAACTCTGTTCCTTGACAGATATTGAATCCCAGGGAGACTCTTTCAGAGTTGCTGGCCCAGTTTAACCCAGTCGGAACCGGGTCATAATTTCATTATGATCCCGTCTCTGAGCAGATCAAAACCATAGGATAGATAGAACAATAGATAGATAAAAATATCTATCCATCTATATCTATCTATCTCTATATATATATATATATATATATATATATATATATATATATATATTTATATATGTACATATATATGTACATATATGTACATATATGTATGTATATACATACCGGATTCCAAAAAAGTTGGGACACTAAACAGATTGTGAATAAAAACTGAATGCAATGATGTGGAGGTGCCAACATCTAATATTTATTCAGAATAGAACACAAATCACAGATCAAAAGTTTAAACTGAGAGAATGTATCATTTTAAGGGAAAAATCTGTTGTTTCCAAATTTCATGGCATCAACAAATCCCAAAAAAGTTGGGACAAGTCCATTTTTACCACTGTGTGGCATCCCCCCTTCTTCTTACAACACTCAACAGACGTCTGGGGACAGAGGAGACCAGTTTCTCAAGTTTAGAAATAGGAATGCTCTCCCATTCACGTCTAATACAGGCCTCTAACTGTTCAATCGTCTTGGGCCTTCTTTGTTGCACCTTCCTCTTTATGATGTGCCAAATGTTCTCTATAGGTGAAAGATCTGGACTGCAGGCTGGCCATTTCAGTACCCGGATCCTTCTCCTACGTAGCCATGATGTTGTGATTGCTGCAGAATGTGGTCTGGCATTATCGTGTTGAAAAATGCAGGGTCCTCCCTGAAAGAGATGACGTCTAGATGGGAGCATATGTTGTTCTAGAACCTGAACATAGTTCTCTGCATTAATGGTGCCTTTCCAGACATGCAAGCTGCCCATGCCACAAGCGCTCAAGCAACCCCATACCATCAGTGATGCAGGCTTCTGAACGGAGCGTTGATAACAACTTGGGCTATCCTTGTCCTCTCTGGTCCGGATGACATGGCGTCCCAGTGTTCCATAAAGAACTTCAAATCGTGACTCATCTGACCACAGAACAGTCTTCCATTTTGCCACACTCCATTTTAAATGACCCCTGGCCCAGTGCAAACATCTGAGCTTGTGGAGCTTACTTAGAAATGGTTTCCTCTTTGCACTGTAGAGTTTCAGCTGGCAACAGCGGATGGCATGGTGGATTGTGTTCACTGACAATGCTTTCTGGCAGTATTCCTGAGGGCATTCCTGTTTGAGGTGCAGTGACGTTTAAGGGCCCGGAGATCACGAGCATCCAGTAGAGTTTTACGGCCTTGACCCTTACGCACAGCGATTGTTCCAGATACTCTGAATCTTTTGATGATGTTATGCACGGTTGATGATGATAACTTAAAAGTCTTTGCTATTTTACGCTGGGTAACACCATTCTGGTATTGTTGCACTATCTTTCTGTGCAACAATGGTGGACTTGGTGATCCTCTTACCATCTTGGCTTCTGAGAGACACTGACACTCTGAGAAGCTCTTTTTATACCCAATCATGTTGTCAATTGACCTAATTAGTGTTAATTGGTCTTCCAGCTGTTTGTTATATGCTCAATTTCCTTTTTCCAGCCACTTATTGCTACTTGTCCAAACTTTTTAGGGATTTGTTGACACTGTGAAATTTTGAATCAACATATTTTTCCTTTAAAATTTTACATTTACTCAGATTAAACTTTTGATCTGTCATCTATGTTATATTACGAATAAAATATTGACATTTGCCATCTCCACATCATTGCATTCAGTTTTTATTCACAATTTGTTTAGTGTCCCAACTGTTTTGGAATCCAGTTTGTATTAAAGATTAACTTTTTGAATGGAATTATGAAAGTTAAACAACTTTTCCATGATATTCTAATTTTTTGGAAAGGGTCTGTATATAAATATATATAAATTATTTTCTTCTTTCGGCTGCTCCCTGCATCAGGGGTCAGTCACCACAGCAAACTAAGTCACACGAAGACTTGGCAGTTATTTTTACGCCGGATACTCTTCTTGACGCAACCACAGACACCGAGCTACCACAGCCCTCTGTGTGGAGCAGAGAGCTGCTATCTAGGACACCCAGAGGAGCAGATGGTGGGGGTTAAGGGCCTTGCTCTAGGGCCCAGAGTGGGACGAATGAGGGTGGGGGCAGGTGTGGATGCTTCCCCTACCCCACCCACATTTTTCATGGGGCAGCTGTGGCTGAGTGGTTAGAGCAGTTGTCCTCCAATGCGAAAGTTAAGGGTTCGAATCCACCAGCAGTCACATGCTGAAGTGTCCCTGGGCAAGACACTGAACCCCTCATAGCCTCTGATGTGTGTCCCATCAGTGTCTGAATGTGATAAACCTCTGATTAGTCTCATTAGAAAGATTTGTTCAATTAGCTTTGTAAAGATCTAGTAGAGTGCTGTATGAATGGGTAAATGAGGACACAGATTGTGTTGTAAAGCGCTTTGAGTATCTTGAAATAAGATAGAAAGGTGCTATATAAGTACAGTCCATTTACCATTTACCATTTGTCGGTACCGGGGCTTGAACCTGCGATCTTCCGACCACAGGCCCACCAAGACTCACCAGGTAAGAGTCACCATGTAATATACAGTTTGTTATTTTTAGTAGCGTACGTTATGAAGATATTATTATTGTTGAATTTTTTCGTGACATTTTATCTGTTGCAATAAACCCACATTGTCATTACAACATTCAGAATTGTTCATTGTGGTGATGGTGGAGGGAGGTTGTATTTTTTGCAGTTAGTGTTTTTTAACCTTTGCGATGCTGATGTTCACACACTGGCACTGCAACATCTGTATATATTAGATGATTTTGCAGCCGACAATGTTTATGAGTGTTTATGATTTATACAGCTTTGATTTATTGATAAACACTAAATAAAAAAATATAAACTGTAGTTTTAACCTGGAAAAACTTTTGTTTTTCAATCTTAGGGCTATAATTTGACAAGACAGTCACTCCACAGCTGCCGATCAATCAGCTGTTCATTTACACAAGTTATTATTCAACTCAAGTGTCAAAAATGAAAAGAACCTTTAAGAAATCCTTCAGTTGGACCGTGTCTAAAGAAGGCAGTTTGATTTCATAAAATGAGATTTTATTTAAGCTTTCTGTGAGGATTAATCAAATAATTAAACTCTATGTTTCACTGAAACATCTGCTCGCTTCATGTTCAGATTTGGACAAGAAATAATGAAACTCGTTTTGTTTTGGGCATCATTTATCATTTTGAGCTTTTCTAACTCATAAGTTTCCCGAAGCTGCTTTTTGCAGCGGAGTTTCATCTGTTTTTGTGAGATCGGGTCATGTTGAAGTGAAGAACCGTCCATGTTTCAGTGTTTAGTTTGAAACAGAAGAGTTGAAAGATGTGTGGGGAGCAGGAAATGATCCCGTGAGATTGTTCTTCTGCTCGATGTGTTCTTTAGCAGCTCTGGGCCTCCATCTGATGGACTTTATCAAACATTATCTTGATTATACAGAGCCACAGAATGAAGGAAGAGTCCAATAGTAAAGAGGCTGGAAAGGAGGAGCTCTAATCTTGTTAAATACTTAAAGACAGTTTGTGTTTTTTGAACACGTGGTAGAACGATGTCTGGAGAGCTCTGGCTGCAAAATGAACACGTTTCTGAGAATAATGAAAGTAAAGCAGAAAATAACATGTTTATTTTCAATAGAATACAGTAAAGAAAGTAGAAATTAAATAAAGGTTACACTCCTTTGTTAAAACAAAGAAACATTTAAACATGACAAACTCCCTTCTCTCTCTGACTGTTTTAAATGATCCAATCTGCGGTTTCCTTTCAGCCACAGGTGGAGTCGGCGCTTATGTTCCTGTGTCGGTGGAGCGTTCCCAGGTTAGTCGCTTGTCTCTGATTGGAACGTCGAGAGAAGCAGAAGGTCAGCGTGGAGCTGGAGCCGCCTCCCAAGTTTACATCCTGCTCACAAATGATAAACAGACACAAAAGGCTCGAACAGACTGTTCGTAAAAACACAAGTTCTGTCTGAAAGCTCTTCAGAATCTGCACGAGAAACATTATTATATTCATGAACAGATTACTGTTCTACATGGACCAGAGAACATTTTTATATTCAATTACAGATTATTGTTCTTGTTGGACCAGAAAACATTATATTCAAGGACTGATCATTGTTCTTATTGGATCCGAGAACTTTATTATATTCAAAAACAGATCATTGTTCTTATTGGACAAGAGAACATTATTATATTCAAGAACAGATTATTGTTCTTGGTGGACCAGAAAACATTATTATGTTCGAGAACAATTATTGTTCTTGTTGGACCAAAGGACATTACTGTATTATATTCAAGAACAGATTATTGTTCTTGTTGAACCAGAGAACATTATTATATTCAAGAACAGAGTATTGTTCTTATTCGACCAGAGAATATTATTATATTAAAGAACAATTATTGTACTTGTTGGACCAGAGAACATTACTGTATTATGTTCAAGAACAGATTATTGTTCTTATTGGACCAAAGGACATTACTGTATTGTATTGAAGAACTGATTATTTTTCTTATTTGACCAGAGAATATTATTATATTCAAGAACAATTATTGTTTTTGTTGGACCAGAGAACATTACTGTATTATGTTCAAGAACAGATTGTTGTGCTTGTTGGACCAGAGAACATTATTATGTTTAAGAACAGATTATTGTTCTTTTTGGACCAGAGAACATTATTATATTCAAGAACATATTTTTGTTCTTGTTGGACCAAAGGACATTACTGTATTATGTTCAAGAACAGATTGTTGTGCTTGTTGGACCAAAGAACATTATTATGTTTAAGAACAGATTATAGTTCTTTTTGGACCAGAGAACATTATTATATTCAAGAACATATTATTGTTCTTGTTGGACCAAAGGACATTACTGTATTACATTCAAGAACAGATTGTTGGGCTTGTTGGACCAGAGAACATTATTATATTCAAGAACAGATTATTTTTCTTATTGAATCAGAGAACATTATTATATTCAGGAACAATTATTGTTCTTGTTGGACCAGAGAACATTACTGTATTATGTTAAATAACATATTATTGTTTTTGTTGGACCAAAGGACATTACTGTATTGTATTCAAGAACAGATTATTGTTCTTGTTGGACCAGAGAACATTAATGTATTATGTTCAAGAACAGATTATTGTTCTTGTTGGACCAAAGGACATTAATCTATTATCCTGATGCATGCTCAATAATCCAGGTAGAAAAATCTAAAAAAGTTCAATCTGGTCCTCTGGACATTCAAAAAAAAAAAAAAAAAAAGGCAAAAAAATGTAGATACGTTTCGTCTTTCATCCGAAAGACTTCCTCAGTCTGAGGTGCTGTATTCAGCTCAGTCTTATAAATAGCACCTTCTCAGAGTGGATCAACCAGTTTGCTGCTGACAACCAAAACCAGCTGATCACATGCTCAAGAAGGACCATCAGCCTCCGGGTGGAGGCCTCAGTATTCAACTGTCCCCCTCTTACACTGCTGTGATTGCTAGTATCACTCAGCCTCCTGTGAACAGTAAACAGCCATCAGGGTGCTAATGATCCATCGTTAGGCTGATGGCCCTTCTTGACCATGTGAGCAGCTGGTTTTGGTTGTCAGCAGCAAACTGGTTGATCCACTCTGAGAAGGTGCTATTTAAGAGACTGAGCTGAAAACAGCACCTCAGACTCAGGAAGTCTTTCGGATGAAAGACGAAACGTTTCTACATTTTTTTGCTTTTTTTTTTTTTATGTCCAGAGGACCAGATTGAACTTTTTTAGACATTACTGTCTTGTATTGAAGAACAGATTATTGTTCTTATTCGACCAGAGAACATTATTATATTCAAGAACAGATTATTGTTCTTATTCGACCAGAGAACATTATTATATTCAAGAACAGATTATTGTTCTTGTTGGACCAGAGAAAACAGCTCAGCTTCGTTTTATTCAGAGCTCTGGAGCCAACACGTGATTAATATGAAGCTATAAAGACAAAAATCAATGGATAAATGAATCAAATCTACATTTTTTTAAACGTTTTATGTCAATTTAAAAATTTTCTGCGCTTCTAAAATATTTAGCTTTAATATTTTTTGTTATTTTGTTCATTATATATACACACATATATATATATATATATATATATATATATATACACAAGAACACATATATATATATGTATATGTGTATGTATATATATATATATAAACTATAGCCAGACATCTATTTTTATATATCTATAATGATGTAAAAAAAATTGTTCTTTTTTATGGTGTTTATGTAAAACATGAAGCATGTGACATGCAAAAATATTCACCCCTTTCATATTCCATATATTTTGTTGCCTCCAAACCTGTAATTTGAATGGATTTACAATTTGATGTAAATAAAATAAAGTAATGGAGCTAAAGGTTTTAGATTTTGTACAATAATAGAGAAGATCCTCGTGAGCGATGCAGGAGTCAATGATCTAAATCTGTTGAAGGAACCTGCTGACCCCCAGATTTAACACCAGTCCAACACCTGAACTAGCTCTAAACCTAACTCTAAACAAGCAGCATCATGAAGACCAAGGAACTCTCACACCGCTCAACTTTTAAAGAAATGAAGATCAGGGCTGAATTATTAAATTAAACACCCTAAACCCTGAATCTCATCAGGTCCATTCTTAGGAAGTGGAAAGATGATTGGATGCTGTTGGATGATGGATGACTGGATGATGTTGGATGCTGTCTATCATGGTGCACTAAGATTCATAACAGGCTGTGATTATCGTACCCACCACTGCACCCTGTATTCACTGGTTAACTGGTCATCATTAGCTTCACGCAGACTCTCTCACTGGTACATTTTCATCTTTAAATCACTTCTTGGTCTGCTGCCTTCATACATCTCCTCCTATATGTCTCTGCGTGAGTGCAGCTACGGCGTGCGCTCTCAGGACATTATTACCTGCAGTGTTCCCTCAATGAGGACTGAACTTGGCAAAAGGGCCTTCTCCTACTCCGCTCCTGTTTCCTGGAATACCTTACAAAAACAATTGACACTCTCGACCTTGACCTTTCTAAGTGGCTTTAAGAATCTGTTGGACTCCTGGCAGGGTCCAATGCAGACATGTTCCTGTTTTTAGTTTTCTACATTCGCCTTAGAATCTAGCTGTTTTTTTTGTTACCTTTTTCTTTTAGCCATCCTATTTGTAAAAAAAAAAAAAAAAACCTGCAGTATGACTTTTAATAATTGTTTATTGTTGTTGCTGTTGTCCATTGTTGTCATCTTTCTTTGTTGAAATCAGGTCTCTCTTGTAAACGAGTCCTCGAGGCTCAATGGGATTTACCTGTCTAAATAAAGGTTGAATGAATGAATGATTCCAACACAGTAAATCTGCCAACAGAGGGCCGTCCACCAGAACTCAAACCAGGCAAGAGGAGAAGCAACAATCCATTGGTTTCCTTCACCCACCTGTCTCTCTGCAGTCGGGGGGGGGGGGGGGGGGGGCAGGACACACCTTGGACAGGCTGGAGGAAAAAACAAAAGATGATGGAGCTGGGCAGCTCTCCTGCAGAGATGGAACATGTGTCCACAGAACCACTAGAACCTGCACAGAACTGGGCTTCATGGAAGTGTGGAAGGAAAACACTTAAAAAATAAAGAAAATCAGCTGGAATTTTCCAAAAGGGTCACTTAAAGCTTCTCAAACACTTAGAAGAAGGTGGTGTGGTCAGCTGAGCCCAAAGTCAAACTTCTAGGTCAGTGAGGACGTCATGTCAGAGGGTGCTGAAGATATGAATGCCCAAGTTTTTCTCTTATTTCTAGTTTGTTTCTGTCAGGATCTCTGCCCATGAACCATATGTTTGTGCGATGTAAGAAGGCTGCAGCTTCAAAGACACCTACTTAGCTCGGCTGAGCTGAGCGGAGTATAAAAGTGAGCAGATAACGTGGCTCATTTCTGGGACTGGTTTTATTACATTTACGTATGTTTATATTTGGTGTTTGAATCTAAGATCTGATCACGCAGGTATAAAATACTCGTTAGGAAGCTTCACCTGCCATGAGACTGGTTCTTTCGAGTAAACAACGTCAGAGCAGCTTCAAAGTGATAGTTCCGTTAAACGTCATGTGAAGAATCACGTTTCGACCCGTGAAAAGTTCAGATAACGTGCGAGTCGTGGCTTGAATACGTTTAGATTTCAGGCTATGAGGCAACAAAACATTGGAAAAGTAAAACGAAGCTCAAAGAATGAGCTCAATAAAAGTTTCAGTTCAGTTCTTCAGGGGACGTTAAGGTGGTCTGGATCTGACTCGTGTTGGAGGTTTTCCTCCTCTTACCTCTGCTTCGACGGGACTCGGACTGTGTCGGACTCTGAGAGGCACGTTGCTCCTCTTCTCCTCTCTCGGGACTCGGGCGGTCTCCTCCCTCTGCTTCATGAACCTCTGGTTGACGATCCGAGTCACGCTGTCGTTCCTGTGCAGCTGAGGGACCTGAGGTCTCACGGGGACGCGTTCCAGGTTCTTTGGACCGGTCTTGGCCCTCTGCGCAGATGCTGGAGCAGCTTTGTCAGCCCTCCCGCTCATCCTGCGCAGGAACTCGGTCACCAGACCGCAGCGGTTGGTGCCGGCAGACCTGCTGGATGACTTAGTTCCACTCACTGAGCTGTGGGTCTGAGCTGCACCTGATCTGGGACTGGCTTGTCGAGTCCACGTTAGCCCAGAGTAGCTCTGATGTGACGAGTTCCCCTGTGCTCGGTCTCTCAGTGCAGGTGAAGAGGAGGTCAGGCTGGAGGAGGAGTGCCTGCGGTACAGTTTGGGGGAGGAAGTGGAGGTTCTGGGCCTCTCAATCTGACCCGCTAACCCATCCAGAGAGGCGGAGATGTGCCGAGAGCGTGCAGAGACCAGGGAGGAGCTGAGGACTCGGGAGGGGCTGCTCCTCACCAGGACCGAGCCCTGAATCCCCTCCGTCTGCTGACCAACGCTCACCATCGGGAGCTTAAGGTGGGTTTGAGTCCCTGAGCAGGTGACATCCACCCAGCGGCCCGCTGGTCGCCCCCTCGTCTCCTGTGAGCCACCGTGAACCGCCTGCCTCCAGCTGGCGTTCATTTCCTTCATGTCATCGCTCAGGTTAGCAGAGGAGCCGAGGCAGAGCTGAGAGAAGGAGGTCGGGGGTGTCCACCAAGGAGAGGGGGGGTCCACGGACTCAGTGTCTGTGACGGAGCTTGGCTTCAGCTGAGCCAGCTGGACCCTGCGGGCCGATGGGGGGCTGTAGTAGATTCTGAAGTCCGACTTCTCGGGGGCAGTGTGGCTCCTCTCCCTCGACATCTGCTCAAAGTCAAGGTGAGGGAAGCTGAGGGGCATGATTAGATGGTCCCACGTCTTAAAGGGGTCTTCTGGGTCCAGCTGGGCGGCTTCCTGGCTCAGATAGCACCAGTTCTTAATTTTAGAGCCACGAGGAGAAAACAGCCGCCTGAGTCGGCTATGTTTGGAGCTGCAAAGTCTGTGGAAAAAGAACTGAAGCTGTGAAGAATTATGGAACAAGGTGGAGACATTTTGGAGACAAACACTGACCTGAGCCCGGTGTGGTGCTGTCCCTCAGGAGGAACATCCCCAACAGAGCTCTGAGCCAAGAGGAGAAGAACAAATATTAAAGATCTACCAAGGAGAAGTGATTCACCAACAGAGTGTTGGATGAGCAAGATGTCAGGTGTTGGATGAACAAGATGTCAGGTGCTGGATGAACAAGATGTCAGGTGCTGGATGAGCAAGATGTCAGGTGCTGGATGAGCAAGATGTCAGGTGTTGGATGAACAAGATGTCAAGTGTTGGATGAACAACTTGTCAGAGTGTTGGATGAACAAGATGTCAGAGTGTTGGATGTACAAGATGTCAGGTGTTGGATGAACAAGATGTCAGGTGCTGGATGAACAAGATGTCAGGTGTTGGATGAACAAGATGTCAGGTGTTGGATGAACAAGATGTCAGGTGTTGGATGAACAAGAATCAGGTGTTGGATGAACAAGATGTCAGAGTGTTGGATGAACAAGGTGTCAGGTGTTGGATGAACAAGATGTCAGGTGTTGGATGAACAAGATGTCAGGTGTTGGATGAACAAGATGTCAGGTGTTGGATGAACAAGATGTCAGGTGTTGGATGAACAAGATGTCAGGTGTTGGATGAACAAGATGTCAGGTGTTGGATGAACAAGATGTCAGGTGTTGGATGAACAAGATGTCAGGTGTGTTCTGTTTGGTTTTCTAACTTCATTCAGAACTGGACTTAAAAACATCTGAAACCCATAAATGTCCTCAACATCAGCTCAAGGTAAAGCTGAAATCAGCTGAAGATAAAGTTGAAATCAGCTGAAGGTAAAGCTGAAATCAGCTGAAGATAAAGCTGAAATCAGCTGAAGATAAAGCTGAAATCAGCTGAAGATAAAGCTGAAATCAGCTGAAGGTAAAGCTGAAATCATGCCATACGAAGCTGCTGGCTTGACTGCTGAGCAGAGACAGAGTTTCTCTGAGGGATTATAATCTACTACCTGGAATTATTAAAAAAAATGAATCCAGAGTCCAGATCTGCGTTCAGACTGTCTCTTTGTATTTGGTGGAAACTGTCATGAAGACCAAGTGCACTGGACTGGTTCTACAGTCTGCCCTGTTTGGCTGCAGCCCCCTACAAGAGATTAGCCTAAATCCTCTGGCACGAGTCCTCGTGAGGCTGGCAGGGACAGATCATCAGCAGGACATCCCACACAGCTGGGATGGGGGGGGGGGGGGGGGGGGGG